TAGTAGTGTTTATTGTGATCTAGACAAAATATTAAGAATAAAGCTCTGGATAGTAGTGTTTCTTGTGATCTAGACAAAACAGTTAGAACAAAGCTCTGGATAGTAGTGTTTCTTGTGATCTAAACAAAATATTAAGAATAAAGCTCTGGATAGTAGTGTTTCTTGTGATCTAGACAAAACAGTTAGAACAAAGATCTGTATAGCAGTTTTTCAATTGATCTAGACAAAACGCTTAGAACAAAGCTCTGTATAGCGGTGTTTTATTTGATCTAGACAAAACCCTTAGAACAAGGTTCTGTATAGCAGTGTTTCTTGTGATCTAGACAAAACCCTTAGAACAAGGTTCTGTATAGCAGTGTTTCTTGTGATCTAGATAAACCATTTGGAACAAGGCTCTGTATAGCAGTGTTTCTTGTGATCTAGATAAACCATTTGGAACAACGCTCTGTATAGCAATGTTTCATGTGATCTAGACAAAACGCTTAAAACAAAGCTCTGCATAGCAGTGTTTCATGTGATCTAGACAAAACGCTTAGAACAAAGCTCCGTATAGCAGTGTTTTATGTAATCTATGGTAGCAGTGTTTCATGTGATGTGGGTAGTAGTGTCTCATGTGATATCGATAACAGTGTCTCATGTGCTGTAAGTAACAGTAACTTATGTGTTTTAGCAGTAATGTTTCATGTGATGTCGGTAGCAGTGTTTCATGTGTTGTTGGTAGCAGTATTTCATGTTATGTCCGAAATCTAAAATACTAAGATTAAGAACAAAAAATATCACATAATTTAATTAATCTTAACATAAAACAGACCAAAGTTATTGACTGTGAGTTTCAGTTTGGTTTCCAATGGTTTCGATATTCTTCTATGACATGAGGATGTGAGAGGGTGTTTTTCTAGGTCACTAAAGAACCCCGAGACGCTTATCACTAGTGTCATCTAAGTAAGAACATGTGACTAGTGCTAACACTAGTGTTAACAACACCACAACTGTGTAAGCTCATTACTGTTACAAAATGTGCTCAAAATATTTGCTTTTAACCACAGAATTACCGATGAAGTTCATGTGGACTACGTCAGCTTTTTAAACACATTTTACTTAACTATGTATGCATCAAATTGTTTGTGGGTCCAGGGCTTTCTTGGTTACAGGGTCCTTAACGAGTCTCATAGAAATGTAAATACAAATATTGTCAATATTGCATTTAGTCCCATTAATTTCTGATGGGGCTTTCCATGTACTTAAAATGGAAAAATGATTTCACCCATTTTTTGTTATTATTTTTAATCGTGGAGGTAGCAACTTGGGTTGAATATTTAGACAGTGGAAGTATCTAAAAGCCAACAGGATAGTTAATTGGTGTCCTAACTAAACTATCTTATGTATTTTAAACCTAGCTCGTGACCGGCACCTTCTCCGGGGATAGTTTTTGTCCAGTGTTTCTCTGGCTTTTTGAGATTTATTTAGGTTTCGGTTAATTTTTGTTTGTGTACATATTTTCAGTTAGTTCTTGATGAATTTTATTATACTCTTTGGGGTAGCAGAGAACAACAATAATTTAAGTTTTTTTTTCAAAAGCCTTAGTGCTCATTAAAACATCTGTTGCGCCATCATCGATGCGACATCAAGGATTAATTTGAAGGCTTTGTTTTCTTATCAGGTTCAGATAGAGAAGTAAAAAACGAGAAAGCTACACTTGTTAATATATGTCTAACTAAATCAGTATTTTTCATCTTACATAAAAGCTATCCCAGCAGAGCTTATAAATGTAGAAAATGCAAATGTTAGCAAGTTTTAAACATTTTAATACAGTTTTAATAAGTTTTATGAAATTGAAAGAATAAATGGAAACACTATAAGATCATTATAATGTTCTTTGATCGTGCGTTCACTGGAATATCAGTTTTATGTTTTACTTTAGATGGCTGTTTAAAAATGGTCTTTAGGAGTAAAGGAATTTTGAACGTGAAGGACGACGATAATGTTTCTACCATGAATCAACTGATGCTATTCACAATAGCCGACAAGACACGTCAAAATAAGGGATCTTAGTTGCTTGAGATTTGATTAAATAGTTTGTATGTTTCATATTATTTTTCCTTTTATAAAACGTCAGTAGTAGCATTATTTTGAATAAATTATTTTAATCTTCAGTTAGTCTTGAGTATGCCATTTGTACTTGCATTGTTTCGCGTTGATTGTTAAGTTGAAGCGTAAACAAAAAAGATATTTTGAAGAAGTATAAATAATGTTTTTTTTTATGATTATTATTTCAATGAATCTCTGAATTAACTGTTTTTATTCTCAGATATCTAAATAATCTCTTTTAGTAACGGATGTAATCTCAAGCTAAATATACATTTAGATACTCTCTGCTACTAACGGATGTAATCTCAAGCTAAGTAAACATTTAAATACTCTCTGTTAGTAACGGTTGTAATCTCAAGCTAAGTAAACCCTCAAATACGCTCTGTTAGTAACGGATGTAACCTCAAGCTAAGTAAACCTTCAAATAGTCTCTGTTAGTAACAGACGTAATCTCAAGCTAAGTAAACCTTCAAATACTCTCTGTTAGTAACGGATGTAATCTCAAGCTAAGTAAATCTTCAAATACTCTCTGTTAGTAACAGACGTAATCTCAAGCTAAGTAAACCTTCAAATACTCTCTGTTAGTAACAGACGTAATCGTAAGCTAAGTAAACCTTTAAATACTCTCTGTTAGTAACAGATGTAATCTCAAGCTAAGTAAACCTTCAAATACTCTCTGTTAGTAACAGACGTAATCTCAAGCCAAATAAACCTTTAAATACTCTCTGTTAGTAACGGATGTAATCTCAAGCTAAGTAAACCTTCAAATACTCTCTGTTAGTAACAGACGTAATC